GGCATTTGCATCACAAGAAAAGAGAATATCATCATTAGCAACAACAGCAACACGATTTTCATTATCGCCTTCTCTCTTTTGTTGTCTCATATCTCTCTTGTGCTTGTAACAATATTTCATGATATGCCCATTCTTGTGGCAATAGTCACATGTAATATTCTTGTATTTAGACTTTGACTTGCTTCTACTTTTACCTCTATCATTCTGACCTCTGGACTTGTTTCTCCCCCTATCTTTAGTAACCAAAACATCGGAGTGTGAAGCTGAAGAAGATGAGGCTTGAGATCTTCTTCTCATTTCTTCATTCAAGACATCACTCTTAGTATATTCCATGGTTACAACACCACTGGGAGCAGAATTAGTCAAAGAAACTCGAAGAGTTTCCTAAGAGTCTAGCAGAGTATTAAGGAGCCAAAGTCCCTGTATCTCATCATCAAACTTTACACCCATTTCGGATAGCTGATCAAGAACACCCTGAAAATCATTAATATGATGAGAAATAGGATTTCCCTCTTTATACCTGATATTCATTAATTGTTTTAATAGGAACAACTTGTTGTTGCCAGTCTTCGAAGCATAAAGTGTCTCGAGCTTGTCCCACAAACTTTTGGCATGTGTCTCATTCACAATATGATTTCTAACATTATCTTCAACCTATTGTCTAATATAGCCACAAACCTGCAGATGCTCAAATTCCCATTCTTCATCATTCAAAGACTGAGGCTTATTAGAAGAAAACACAGGTAAATGCATCTTCTTGACAAATAGAAGATCTTTCATCTTGCCTTTCCAAATATGATAGTTACTACCATTTAAACACACCATTTTGCTCATATTTGCCTCCATCATTCAAAACGACAATCAACAATAACCAATGCTCTGATACCACTTTATTGGGAAAGACGAGGCACTAACAAAGAATGCCTGACAGGATAACAACGGAAGAATACCCAAGTCTATACTTTCCCTTCTCGATTTGAACCAAGAGAAGACAAACAACCACAAGCAATATGATAGTAAGGCAGCAAGTAATTCAACCAAACAAATATAACAAGGCAATAATAAACCAATTACACAAGACACCAAGATTTACGAGGAAAACCCTTCGATGTGAAGAGTAAAAAACCACGGGACCAAAAGCTCCACTATAATCACCAAGAGTTACAATATTGTTCTCCAAAATTGGCCACAAAACAAGTGCCAGACAATGAGCAACAACAAAATAAGATTGCACCAAATCTAGAGAATTAAAGGAGCAAAATCACCAATTTCGCAGCTACTGTTCACGACAGCAAAACTGAAGCTGCAGGCCACCAAATCCAACTTTGTCAGTTCCTAATCAAATATTGAGATGAAGATAATATGCTGTCCAAAAATCAGCTTAATCAGACAAGAAACAAAGCGGGAATTGTAATTTAAAGTTGGCTGTTAGGGCTGAATTTTGACTGCAAAAATTGCTCTCTTTCTCTCTTTTTGGCTGCTGAAAAAACTCTGTGTATATGAAAATAAGACCTAAATAGGCTTATATTTGCCTCATAAGAATGGTCCTATGGAAAAAAATGGGTTGGTCCAATTAGGCTTTTATTTATCCACATAGGAAGGGAAAAAGGCCCATAACCCAATAGTTCAGCCATAATTCGAAAGTTTGTACCAAAAAATCCTTTTCTAAAAAATAAAGATGTGGTCGGTCAAAATTGAATTCATCAATATCATTTTTCTCGAATTTCTTTCATCAATTCAAGTAAAACGAGGGACATTCACCTTGATAATTGAGGTTTTGTAAATTAGATGAGATAGAGCTTCATGATTGTCAAGGCCCAAAACTATGACCTAGTCGTGACATGATGCTTATCTCAATAAATGACCAAAATATAACCTAAGTATGTCATGACACTAAGATTTATATACATAATAACAGTAGATAATTGAATGCGGAAGTTATACTGAATTTTATGATAAGTTTGAATACTTAAGAATGTATACTTGAAGATGAGTTCATCAAACATAGTAAGCAGAAACAAAAATTTGACTAACTGTCTGGAAGCCTCTACTATGATGAGTTGCTAGGATAAGCCCCAGCTAACTCTAACTATTTAAAAACTACAAATAAATACTAAAAGAGAAGCATGAAGGTCATCCCTAAAATATGAGACTTTCCAACTCTGTTGTTGCTGATAAGAAACCGTACTAATTGTGAGCTACATGTTAAATGGCTAAAACTATACAGTGCAAATGTATATGGTCAATACATAGACTATAATAAGTACGTAGGGCATGTTTGTTACAACTAATAACTGAACATGCTGAGTTTGAAATATTGAACTAAAATGACATTAAGTAATATGATGACCTAGTAGTAAAACATGTAGCTCATAATTACATAAAGTGAAATAACTTAATACAAGGCCAAGCAATTACTGAGACTAAATTAGCGAGCTACTAAACGACATATAATTATATGATACACAGAGTTTGATGTATAATCCCCATCAAAAGGGGACCAATATACTTTTCTAGAGTATGTAGGCTAACTTGAGCTAATGTGTACCACAAAGCTAATGTCCATAAAGGACTAAGGTGGCAGTCTTGTTCTAGTAGGTGACCCTTACATACATATGGTGGAACAAGGTTTTGAGACTTAGGAATTGTTACTAAATTTCTTGGTCCTCAAATAACGGGTGAGCATTCAAATGTAGGTCCACTCAATGCCAAGTAAGATTTCCAACGGAAACACGCAAATAAACTACAAAATGTAGTCTTATAATACTTAATAATGTGATAAATTGACAATAACTAAGTAGCTCATGAATATACTAATAATCTGGTGATAGTTGAGGGGCAATTTATTTAAAAGGATCTTTAACCATGAAAAATTGATAATCTGAGACATCCAACTAAAATAGCATAGTTTGAGATATGAAAAAATCAACATTCTGGGAGTTCATGAAAATATTATTTAGAAACATTTAATTATAGTTTGAAAACACATAATTAAACTATTCATGAAGAATGTTGTGAAAGATAATGAAAAGTCAACTTTACAAAAGAACTCTAATTGTATAGAAATCATTAACTGAAAAGGACTCAATGAGTGAAAGGATACCCATTGATGAAATTTCACATACCTGAAATTAAATTCCTAGCTTGAATTCATGAATCGAGAGGAACCCTAGTACTTGCTTGAGAAGAGTTTGACGTCACTAGATAATAGATTCTAAGTGGTGCATATGGAAGGGTTACGCCGTATAGGAAGGGAAACTCCTGAATATGGCATTTCTGAGAGGAGGAAAAGACTAGTTTTGAAACTAAATAAATTAAAAGAAAATTCTTATTTGTGATAGTGCCACGTAGGCAAGCCTAAGTATAATATATATATATATATATTGTATCAACACCCCTAACAACAAAACATATAGTGATTTCACTGATAGAATTAAGGACTACATGATCCGATTTTCAATTTAACATTTTTCATTTTTTATATTTCTTGACATTTTAGTAGTTATAAATTATAGCATAATTCTTTTACTTTTAATTTTTTCGAGAGTTTCACTCCAAACATTATAGTAAGTAATTGATATGTTTATGTTATTTGAAAAGACTAACATAACATGATCATATAAAAATAATGATCCCCTCAACATTTCAATTCATGAATCCGCCTTGGACATTAACGATGTGTGACATATTCTACTAACAAATGTTTTAGGCTTAAGTCTTCAACAACCACTTAAAGTTGTTCGTGTATTTCATTTAAACGCTTCTACTAGAGAATATACCTACTGAACAATTATACTATTCAAATAAGTACCTATTAAACAATTTCGCTGATGAGGCATTGAAAGTGCATTACACAGTTATTGAGCGTGTGAGAGACTATTTTTTGTTGTTTTTTAAAATCTTTTTTTCTTCCTTCTTCCTCAATCAAACCTAATTTCTTCCACCACCATTTTAACCGGTCCCATCGCTACCGCCGCCACCATCCACCCTTCTAATTTCTCTCGTATCATCAGTCATCCCACTTTGTGCTTCACCACTGTTGTATTTCAATCTGAAATTGATCAATTTCCTTTCGTACAAAACACACCGACGAGATAAAAAGAAGAAAATGGAGATAAGTTTAGCTACAAACAACCAATTTCAAAATCATTTTCCCCAAAAATAAGTATTTTTTCTGAAGTCATTAACAATTTTCTCAGCAACAGAAATGAGAAAAAGGATGAAAATGAAGAAATTTAAAAAGTGTTGATTTCAAACAAACTGTTATAGAAGTCCTTTTCTAGAGTAAAAATTTCTTCACTAAAATAACTCGATTTCACCTTAAAATTTCTTTTAACTTTCTTAGAATTGAGACGATAAAAAAGATGAAATTGAAGAAATTGCAAAAAGACATGTAGTTTGCTATTTTAATTTAATTTTCTTTAAAATCAAATTGAAAAAGGACATGGACAGTGACAATGGTGGCTCAAAGGAGGTTGAAACCTCGAAGGTCATGGTAGAGCAGACAAAGTTTTTTTTCTCTTCTTTATAATTTTTTACTCTTTTCGTTTCACAAAAAGTGACCTGATTTAACTTGCACAAAGTTTTAGAAAATAAAGAAAACTTTTAAATTTTGTGGTCCTAAATTAAAGTTATGTTAAATATACTAAATTACCCTTCAATCCTATGACTTTAAACATGGCACATGCAAAACTAAAATTAAAATGTTATCAAAAAGAAAAGAGATCATTCTTTTTGGAACAAACTAAAAAAAAATCATTCTTTTTTAAATAGAGAGAGTAATAAATATTTTGGCTCAAAATGCCACATATATGTTAGTCATTTGTCATATCAACAAAAGTGTATTGCATATATGTTATATTTTTAGTTGATTGTCAAAAAAATAGCAAGTATAAATATTTAATAGATATAAAGTTAAATTGATGTGTTTAACTTAAATATGTTTGTGTCAATATTTTTAATGTTAAAAAGTATTATTTCAAAATGTACAAAATCGTGTGAAGATAATTAGAACAGTTTTTAGAGTGTTATTGCGCTTCCTTTTACCCTTCCAAAATCCAAAGCTTGACAGACAGACATCTGGTGAAAAGATTAGTTTAAAGAAAAACAAAGTCCACTTTGCGCATCGGAGACTTCGCCGGAACTCCGATCTGCCACCCCTCCAATCCCAATGGATTACCAACTGAATTCCCAAATCTCCGGCGACTCTCCTTCTTCCTCCGCATCCTCCACCATCCAAACACCCTCCACTTCCAACCACCACCACCAAAACGGCGGCGCTCCCATCAACAACAACGACCCCATGCATTCTTGGTGGGAATCCATCTCTAAAGCTCGTTCTCGCATCCACCTTCTTTCCTCCCTCCTCCCCTCCTCTAACGACTCCACCACTGACGCTTCTCTCTCCGCCCTTGCTGACTCTGACCGCCCTGCCCGGTCCCTTCTCCTCTCTCCGGGGGCATACTTTTCTATTTCTTCCTCTCTCTCTTCCCCTTCCTCCGGCGCCGGTGATGACCCACTTTGTAACTGGCTCTACGACACTTTCCTTTCCTCTGATACTGATCTTCGTCTTGTGGTACTCTCTTTTATCCCCCTTTTATCCTCCATCTATCTCTCGCGAATCCATTCTTCTATTTCTACTTCTCTATCTGGTTTTGAAGCTGTTCTTCTTGCCCTTTACGGCGCTGAAACCAAATCCCGCGGAGGAAAACCCATACTTATTTCTATTCCCGATCTCTCTCAGCCTTCTCTGTATCATAGTCCTAGAAACCCCACACAGGCAAAATCAAACTCCAGGTCGTCTAATGCCCAGAATCGTCCTTTGGTGGGAGTTTTATCGCCTCCTCTTGAGCATGAAATTGCTGTGAAGTCAACTAAACGTGCTTGCATTGTTGGGGTAGCTCTAGATTGTTACTATAAACAGATTTCCCATATGCCAAGTTGGTCTAAGTTGGATTTTTGTAAATTTGCTGCTGATTGGGCTGGGCAAGATTGTCCTTGCGTGTCAGAATTTGATGAAACTGATGGAAATTCTGAGAATTCTGTTGAATTTAGTAATGGGGATCTGGAGGGTGTTTCTGAAGCGATGCAGAATTTGAGAATTGAAAATGGATATGATGAATTAAGGCCAAAGGGTGCAAGAATTCCACTTCCGTGGGAAATATTGCAGCCTGTGATAAGGATCTTGGGGCATTGTTTGTTGGGTCCTTTGAATGCTGAGGATGTGAAGGATGCTGCTTCAGTGGCAGTGAAACGGATGTATGCAAGGGCTTCACATGAGTTGAATCCGCAGGCAATTTTGGCAACTAGGAGTTTGATTCAGCTTGACAAGAAAGGTCGTGAGACAGCTAAGATAGCTGCTGCAGTAACCGTTATGTCAAATGTTAACACACCTAGTAAAGCTAAAAAGCCGGAGATCCTTTTGGTTTCCAAATGATTGCAGTGTACCTGATGGTTTGACTGGTTTTCACTTACTATTTTTTTCACATGGTCTTTCTTCCTTTATTAATGACAAGTTTGTGTATGTTAGAATTATTATAAGTATATCGTTACTATTATTTTTTAATTAGACCTTGTTAGATTTTATATGTAGTAAATGTCTAATGCCAAAGAAGGTTTGTGTGATTTTGAATTTGATGTGGCAACTTGCCTGTGTGCTCTGTAACTTGATTTTTATCTCAATATTTTGGAGAGGGAAAAGTACTTGTTCTGTGAGGTTTACTGCCTTTCTCTTACGGATTGCATATTACTCATCAGCTTTTTAATCTCTTTTGTGTCTATCCATGTCTTGTCCTTTTAGCTTTGAGACTTTTAGCATCTAAAACCCAAGTGGGCTGTCTTTCTTAGGATCTATATATTTTTCCCTGTTTATGTCACTGCCATTTCATATACTTGCCAACTTACCAAAGTCATTAGTTGAATGTTCAGTTTTGTACCCGGTTGTCTCATATGATTTATATTAGTAGATGAATCATGTTACAAATATGATTGAATGGGTTAATAATGTTTTGTTTGGAACATTATTTTTTGTTTTTGCTTTTGTGCTTCTCAGTATGTAGAATACACTGAAGCTCTTCTTAAACCTCCAATGTTCTGTACCCCCTTTTAATATCAAATTAAAGAAATGAAAAGTAATAAGTACTTGTGTAAATTTAAGCCAGATACCTTGTCCACTATCTGCGACATAGTATCTGTGTATATGGGGGTCATCAAGAATATTGGATTGTAGTGTTCTAGAGATGATGAACACTAAGTATTCAGAGCTATGAATACACACTTCGAACACTAATTAAAAGGGTTGAGGGCTAACTCACTTGGTGAGCTCTCTGCCTTTGATAGTTAAGGTGGAGGGTTCAAACCCTATCAGTGGCATACACTCCCTTCCCCTTTCTCCCTCGATAATGGTATTGTTTCCCTTTATATATGGAGAACAATAACTGAAGAAATTTCTGCTTCCACCCTGTGATATGAACTTGACAAGCATGTTTTCTCGGTCTCTCAACTTAATCAAATTTAATTTCAAGAAGTTATTTGATATGTGGATGTTAAGTTAGGAAAAACTTTAATAAATAGTTGGAACTCTTATTATTTAGTGAAAATGCAGCACTTGGTGGAAGGAGGGAAAATATACTCCATGATTGGCTTCTCTGACTTTGTGTGTAAGATAGATTATGAACTTGATATATATAGGGCCTTTTTGCGACTTAAATGTTGGGGGCCGTAGATAGGAAGGTATGGAGGTCGAGGATTAGGGACAGGGTAAAAGGTTAGTAGCTAGTTGGATGTTGTTGCACTTTATGTGGGAGAGGTAGGGGGCTAGCCTTTTCCTTTCCCCTTCTCATTATTGGTAGTATTACTTAGCAACTGTGTAGTTTCTTATTCTTCTCTGTGTGGTACTATTTGTTGCTTCATTTGTTTTGTACCTTGCTATTCAGTTGTTATATTTTTCTTGCAGTCCTACTCTGATAACGTTCCTTTAAGCCGAGGGTCTGTCAGAAACAACCTCTTTAGCCCACAAAGGTAGGTTAAGGTCTATGTACATACTACCCTCTGCAGACCCCACTTGCAGGATCACACCAAATATATAGTTAGTTTCATGTTGGAGTAAGCATTGTGTTTACAAATTACAAACCTGTGAATAAGTGACTGAAGTGTGGCCAAATTCTTGTTCTGTAGTTTGGATAATAGAACTCCTGGTCCTGTTTGAATCTTGCACTAAATTTGTTAGAAGGTGCAGGTGGTATTCCGGGCATAACCCAATTTGTTTTTCATATATATGCATTGTAAGTAGGTGATTTCTTCTAAAGTGTGATATTCCTATTTGGTACGTTATTTATTTGTTGTTTCACACTGGAAGATTCTGCTATTTACTATATTGTCATTAGGGTCTGATGTGAAACGGAACTAGTTATGAATTTGATTATAGATAAGTTTAAAGATCAGCAGAGTTATTTCACAGTTGCTCGAGTTCATCTTTGTATGTTTCTGATGTGTGGTAAGTTCACTGTTTGAATGTCATATAAATTAACTCATCTGGATTTACTTTTCAAGCATCTTACTTCCGAGTTTCATTGCTCCCTGGTTTATATCCATAGGGGAAGAATTTTGTGATCCTCCCTTCCATGAGATGTGTATTCCTGAAGTTGGAATTCTTGTAACGTCTATTTCATGTATATGGTTTAAGCTCCCTTTTGTTCTCAACATTTCCGTGAGATACTTTGATGTTCATTTCACATGAATTTGTTGGAATAATGTTGTGTTCTTTGATTGAATAATTTCTTTACACTTCCTTAGCCAGGGAATACTTGAAGAGACGGTCTTTGAAGTACTGCACGTCAATTTTCTTTCTGTTACCAATGGAGTTGGTTGATGTTAATTTTATGTTGTGGTATAAGCAATTGGAGCAAAAATTTATATGTCAAAAGGAAATATGAAACTGGGAATAGGTGTTTGCAAATGTTATTTATGTGTATTCGCTATAACTGCAACATGTTTTTGTTTTGTAGATCATTTGATATTCCTCTTTATCCTCTTCTTTTACTGACTTGCAAATTGACTAGTTATCTTTCAACCTGCTCTACTTGTTTTACTGCATTTGTTTTCTTGCTCTTGTTCTGAGTTAATAGTGTTGGGAGGTCAGCAGATAGTCAGAGAAGAGACTACTTTTCTATTGAAGTTGTTGTTTTGTGATGTTGAAGTTTGTCCCCGGTTTTGGGTTTGTTTGAAATAGTGGCTTGCAGATGCTTTTCAAGTGAAGTTTCTCAGATTTTAGACTTCAACACCCTGTTTGGGTGGTGGTTATGTATCATATTGTTTGAATGAATATAAAGTTTTGATAGATTGTATTGTTCTCTATTACATAAAATGTCACGTATTAAGGAAAGAGAAAAGGATTTGAAAAATACCAAGACCTTTTGTTCCCGTGCACTTTTTAAATGTATGTTTTAAAGTATATCTTTGTTCACGTGGATATATTACTATTTAAAATGATACAATATATATATATATATATATATATATATATATATATATATATATTAAAAATACACTATTAAATAGTGCAGGGGTAAAAGGTTTTCTATAAAGTTTGGTGTAGCAATTTCAATCAAAGTTTGAATATATTTCAGACCTTTTTTCTTAATACTTTGAATGAAAAATCTACAATGAATTTAAGAGTATAGGTTGAAGCTATTATGAAAAGGTAGAATAAATGATAAATAAAATTATTAAATAATAAGTAAAGACAAATGAGAAGGAAATGGTAAGGTATCGATGTGATTGCACCAAATCAATCGTTACATAAAATAAGATTTTTCGTCGTTATCCAACAATGAATTTAAATAATACGATATAATAAAATTTAAGTGACAATCAAAGTAAATATTATTTAGACTAATAATACAATACAACAAATAATAACAATCTAAACAAAAGTTTAAGAAACTTATTGCTTTTGGTATCGGTGTCCCTTTCACTACTTGTGCAAGTATGCCACATTTGTTTTCATTCCCTAGTGGGTAGAGCAAGAGTAAGCTACTTCACTTGAGAAAGAATGTTGAGTGAGTGATCCGGCCTCTAGTCTTTTAATGATGGATTTATTTTCAAAAAATTCGGACCTTGAAAATTTATTCGATAAGCCTTTTACAAGCTCGAGTCTTTCAAATCCTCTTAATAATAATTGATCATTCACTCATGCTTTCATGGGAACAAGGAACTGGAAGTTTGTTGTCGATGATCTGATTTTTTTTTTGGATGTAGACGAGACAAAGATTAATATTAAGACGTCTGGTTATGAATATATGTCTGAATGATTAAGAAGTATGTAGACTTAAACATTGAATGATTAAGATTGCTTTTTAGTAGCTGAATATATATAATTCATTATTATGTAACATGTCTAACTTCTTATTCACTAGAACTAATTCTTAGTTTTATTGCTAAGAATATTACTTTGTGAAGTTAAATGCTTAGTGTTTTTAAAAATATATACACTAAAAGCAAGTATGTAAGAATAAGAAAAATAATTCTAAATCAATAATATTTTTGTACATGTGTAAATATATTATAATTTGATATTAGATTACTAATTTTATTAAGATTTTGACATAGATTCAAGATATTTTCTTCTTTTTTTTAAAAAAAAAAGAACATAATACCCAAGTTTTTCTAGAGCAACCAAGTCAACAAGTTCTTTTCTACCTCAACAATAAACTTGAACCAATAAAAGTAACAAGAGTTATTGTTGAACCTAATCTAGCAAAACAAAATTCAACAAACAAACATAGGTCAAGAGTGGAAAAAAATAAGAGCATGACATGTCTCTCTAAAATGCCAACACATGCATTAATAAGAATATAATTAATTTTCTTGATATTGTTGTTTATTCATTGCATATTTTAGTGATATGTACATGAGGTAAAATATCCAATCAGACTAAGCAATCCAACATTTTTATCGAAATAAAATATAAAATTGCAATTAAAATTTCAGAGTTCATGAGAAGAAACTGATAATACCAAGAATAATATACAAAAAAGTATTTATAATTTTTAAAAATTTACCAGTTCAAGAGGAAAAAATTTAACACCCATTTAAAAGAAAGGAGGAAGATGTTGATAATGTAGAGAGGGGGAAAGAGAGGAGCAACACATGTAGAGAAAAAATACAACGATGTATGCTGGGGGAAAGGCACAATGTATATAGAGAGGAAAAAATAACAATGTTTGAGCTTTACAAGGAAATCAAGTAACATTATAAAATGAGTCTGAAGAAAAATAAGACTCCCTTAAAAATCTGAACGAATCAGATGATCCCATTAAGTGTTTATTTTTTAAAAATAAATAAATGTACTTAATGGCCCAAAGCAATCTTTAACGCATTAGTAGCTAAAATTTAATTAGGAGGTGATTTCATTTGATTTCATCATGATCAATGAAGATTAGTACATCTATGTGAAAAAATCAATGAAAAGTTTGTAATTTTTTGGAATAATGTACAAGTACCTTTTCAATCTATGTCGAAATTGCAGAGACAGACCTATATTATATTAAGGTCCTATTACTCCCTAAACTTATTTTATTAATAATTTTCTACCCCTTTTCGGCCTACGTGACATTATCCTGTGGGCCCAACGTTGGTTGACTTTTTTTTCAAGTTAGTGCCACGTAGACCGAAAAGAGGTAGAAAATTACTTATAAAATAAGTTCAGGGGGTAA